CGATAGATCATTATAGTTTGCTGAACTATAATTATATCTGTGAATTTAATTACTAGGAAAATTATACTTTTGATTTTGAAGTTGACTTGATGGTGACTTGTTCTAAGTAATTTTATGTAGTACAATCCAGTATTTAACCCAACCAAACATATCAGTATTTATGACGTATAATGATCGTATCAAAAAGTCATGAATAAAAAACGAGAAGAATGGATTCAAAGTAAACTCAGATATTCAAAATCGTAAACGCACCGAAGTCAACGTTAAAATTGTAGATACTATGTAGTAAATCAAAATATATAAAGTCCAGTAAAAAAAATCAGAGTGCCTAGTACCATTACATTAAAATTGGGTTCTACCTAAAAAAAGAATTACTAATTAAATTAGCACACTAAATAGAAACTATAAGAATGTTTGAATGTATTGTTAATTTTTTTATTAATTCTGAAATTTGGTTAATTGAAAACGTCTAAAATAATATTTAAAACATTGTCAATTTCAAATATTACAATTTTTCAACTATATTATGGCTGAAGAAAATTTTATATTTTTTTTATCATTTTTAAATTGCACTTTAAAAATACTCATTAGCGCTACAATAATATTGAATACATTTAAAATTAAATAAATTTATTTATAATAAAACTTAAATTTTAGTCAATAATTTTTTTAACGATTAGTAACCAGTAACCAGTTTTTAATCTAGATGTAAATATTTATTAACAAAATGTTTAATATATAAAACTTGTTGTGCGATTACTACAGATTAATTAACTATTATTTATCGAACAGATCACTTCTGAATAATTATCTAATTCAACCAATCCATAATATTTATTGTTTCTGAAATTCTTACATACATAGGCGTCCATAGGGATGGCAAAGCATGAAGATTTTTGTTTGCTCAATTTTCACGATCGTTTAAATTATAAAATTTAAAAAAAAAACTCTTTTAATTAAAACATAATATAATTTTATTTTTATATTATGAATTCTAGGACTAAGAGCATTGTATTTTATAGATTAGTGAAATAAATAAAATTTGGTTTTTATTTTTTAAATTTATAAAGACATTTAATTTTATAACTAATACGTAAAACTACTAAAACATCTATTATTTATAATATATTTTCTGCGGGGCCCATAGGCACCATTTAGAATAAAAGTTTTGAGAACGCTGAATGTATTTTCCCTCTACCATAAAATACACTATATATGCATATATCAACATACATATTTCTTACAATTTTTGGGGAGTAAATTCGATAGCTGAAAGGACAAAACTCCTTCTTGTTGCGCCTATAGCGAGGCCTTCAAAAAACGCGGTTCCCTGGTCGAGAATCCGATCAACTCCTTGAACGCTATGTCTGTTAAGGAGACAATGATACCAAATATTAAAAAAAAATTATCCCGCCCACAATAAAAAATTTCTTTGCAGAACCGGATTTCACATTTTTAAGTTGATATTATTTATTAGATCTAACACATTTTGTTTGGTTACTTTTTTAAACTATAATGATATTTATTAAAAAATGTAACTTCAATAGCTAGTAATTAATTATTAACTGACTAACTTATATTAATAATATTAATGTTAAGTTCTTTTTTTAAACATTACTCTTGGGACCTTTAGATTAAATCTAAAGGTTTAAATTATAAATTTATAGTAAAATGTTGTTCAGTAAATAAGGAAACGATTTTCTATTTTTCTCATTGTTTGTAACAATCTACCTGTTTCCTTACTTACTGAATACTCTGTATACATATATTTTCAAATGAATTAATTTTATAGAAAAGTTTTGATAGATCGCATTGAAATTGTGAAATAATTTGCAACTTATTAAATTTATTTGTGAATTATTATTAAATGATGTGTCATTCACCTTACACATGCATAATTTCTAATGAGACGCATGATTGTGCATATTAATAATGAAATTTCAAAGAAAGGTTTCTGGGGCTTGCACAATACTAAACTATATACTAAATCTAAAAATAAAGAAAATTATTTCATGGTAATTTTTTAAAATAAGATAGCCTTTTCTACATTGACACAGGAAATAAATCACCGACGTAGGTACTAATAGTTATTTTAGAAAATGTTAACGATGTTTGAAAGTTAGCAACAGTATGCCAAACAGGAACTAAAATTTCTAAATGAAGTTAAGTGATGTAGGATTTGATTCATGACTTTGTGAGATGGTTCAGGGTGTTAAAATTAAAAGGATGCACTAGTAGAAAAAGTAAGATATTTCAAGAGGTGAAAACGTTTTTTTTATTTGTTAATTCGAAAAAAGGGTCATGTATTTTTTTTTTTGTGGTACGATAAAGGAATACTTATATAGAGTGCTGAAAAACTTTAAGCAGCATCGATTAAAAGTTATACGCAGTGGCGTATTTTAAAATTTTCTGACCCTATACCATGGCCCCCATGCTCCTAGGATAAATATGCCACTGGTTATACATAGATAGAACTTTTATAAAAAAGAGGTGCAAAATAGGTTGATACGCTTTTGATTCATTTGAAATAGCTTTTATTCAGCAAACGTGAATAAGTCTAATTAATAACTGTAAAAAGAAAAATTGAATTACTTTATAAAAAGCCACTTAATAAATTAATTACTAAATTGAAATCAAATTGAAAATGTTTTTCATATAATAAATCACTTTGATAAATATATGTTACAATCATATAGTCTACCTTTTTTTAGGAAGAAAAGGTTTTTAATCAAAAATTGTTCAAGTTACGAACCAAAAAAAGAGATTAATATTTGAAATTATTGGTTAATTTAAAACCATGTTAAGGTACCTACTAACTAAATATTTAAAAAAATGTGTTAGAAATATAAATACTGATTACAGACGTATGATTGTTAATTTGATGTATTGTTACATTAAAAAATGACGCGGCTGTCAGTTAATTGTTGCTAAAGGTAAATATGAAATGATAGTTTACAACTTGGTAGGACCAGAGATACAGTCAAGAAACTATTGATGTTTCTATTGATATTTTTCGTAGGTTATAAATTATCAACAATTAGTTGATTAAAATCAATCGAATACAACTTTACGTGTTTTCTTAAAGTTATAAAAAAATAAAAATATAACTTTCTTTGTAACTTTGAAAAAACATATTTTCAATTTCTATTATTTTTGGTTAGGAAAGTTTTCGCGTTAAAAATTATTCACTGCGCTTAAACGATAAGCACTCATTGAATAACTACGCGCAAGACGTAACTACAAGACAAAACTTTCAATTAAAGTTTTTTACTTAAATTTATTTAGGAACGCCTGTATGTGGTATTTGGATGAGAGGCGGCTCCCGAGGCTAATGTACACCATGTGAATGAATTTCACACGCACATAAAGCGTTTCCGAGAGAACCGTTATAAAATCACGACAACGATGATGCGCTCGTTATTCTCACGGAAGATGAAATGCGACATCATAATATTATAGTATACATACGGTTTCTTTACCGGTTTTCATTTACTTTGAATGGTTTGAACATGAACTAGGTTTTTCTGCGTTCGGATATTTACACTTCGTCCGTAATATATGTAAATATAATATGATGCACGATTACTCGACTGGCAGACAAGATTACACTTTGACCATAGTGTGTGGTCCAAACGGACTTCTTGGCACTGGGACTTACAATTTNTGTGGTCCAAACGGACTTCTTGGCACTGGTACTTACAATTTTTACGAAATCTTTTAAATAAACGGCTATTGACCGCCCGTTTCGACAATCGTTTTCAAACTTATTATGGAAATGTTCCACCTCGAAGTAAAGCCATTTGATAGGAATTTTCAATAACGTCATTTTTTATGCTTACATGATTGTTCGAATTTTTAGTTGGCTGGCTTATTCGTCGTTATTAAATAAACGCATTGGTTGTTTAATGTTTAATTGATTCATACTTAATTATAACACGTATTTATCAGAGAAAGTCAATGATCAAAAACATGGATGGATTTGGTACATTGTAAATATATTATACCCGTTACGCTCGTGGGCTTGTTTTTGTGAAACATGACTTAACGTATACATTCAATAGTGTTTTATTTTTCTATAAATGAATTTTATTTATCTTACTAATTATTTAATTACTAATCGAAAAATACCGTTTTAACTTTCTGGGCTGGGCGCGTACTAAGAAATTATGTTAATCGACTGCAAAACGAAGAAATGTTTATACGGTACTTAATTCATTCATATACTAATGTAAAAAAAAAACTCGTTTATTACTGTAATATCACATTACAGACGATATAGTGTGCTAACCGTTAACATAGATAATATTACAATACTATAAATGTAGAGTTCGACAAACAAATATTTTCAAATAACATTTAATATAATTTTATAGATGGCTCCCTATAATTATACTTGAGATTTTTTACCGCACTTTTAATGTTATTCTTATTTTAATGTTTTAGGTACAATTTCTCTGGCGTTGCTAACAATTAAATTGTATAGTGTCTTTGATGCCACAAATTTCATATTTTGTCGATTAAGACAAACGAGAAGTTTGCTAATTTAAATTTAGTATCAAACAGTTTTTTCAATGAACCAAGTACAATACAACTACAAACTGAAATTATTGGTGTTTCCGGTAGTCGCGCCATAAAATGGAAATGACAAAGACTCGATAGATAACAATAATCCGTGTCGCTGCACTTTCCCTACATGCTTGCGCAGTCGTTGTCACTTTCGACACGTTCTTAATGACAACTCGGTATTTCCCTCGTCGATGATGCAGCATTGGAATCTCGTGTCTCCAGCACAGCATTTCCATATTACATACACATTATTTTACTACATTGGCATGTTGAGCTTATACAATTCCTGGAACATTGATTGCTATCGAGGGGACGTATTACCACGACGGTGGTACCAAGCAGCGGCGAGTGAATATAACTCTTCGGTAGAGGTGGGGGGGAGTGCTGGGGTCTGTGGGTTTCGGTTGCCGGTAGGTTGAATTGCTGGCCGGTACGCAAACGATTCGCGCGGTCCGCTGAGTATACACGTTCTTACTAACACTCGGAGTAAGTACACGTGAGTGATTTTTAGTATTTGGTCCATATCGTTACGCAATCCAGTGCGTGGAGTTTATATTTTCCAATGTATTCCCGATGATTATCCGTCTAACGAGTTGACCTGACCACGTCAACGCACCCGACATGTCTAGATCGCCGTACCGCAGGGCTTTTGTGCCCTTATTGTTACTTTTGATAACGACACATCCGTTTGTCAGAACTCAGGATGCCGATTTAGCCAGCAGCTTTTTTTCAGGTAGTTACAATTTAAGTATGTAAACATTTTCAGAAACGTTTTCCGGTTGGGTAGAATGAATAAATTACACATTACTATTAAAACCTTATTTTTGTATTCGTAGCTCAATAATCTGCTTACATATTTTCAAGATTCTCGATTCTAATTGTAGTTTTTATCGTCATATCCACATATAATCGTTGAAAATTATAATTTTCTAATTATGTTCCACCGACATATTGACAATGGCTGTAAAAAACGAGAAACTTTTAAACCGGCGATAGTGACATTCGTCAATTAGCGGTGGCGATGACGAAAAAATCAGGACATAACGGTTTCCTGGCGGCAGTGGCTCGCGCAAACAATTGGTACCATACATGTTTATATAGAAAGCGTTTGACCCCGATCCCCATCGCTGTCGGTGATGGAAGTGACAGAACAGTATGTGCACTTGTCGTCGTTGTCATATACCTCATACACGTGCAATAATAATACACCAGCATCACTATTGACAATTTGCATACGTTCCTAATTCTTCCGACTTCACACCCACTTAACGGCCGCGGCCTCGACGACCTTGCCGGTTACTGACCCGAGACCACCGTAGGCAAACATTGGATCAGTCGCTAACACTTAATCATAAGTGAGCAACATGTAATATTAGTAAAAATATAACTGTCTAAGATTTTGACCGTTGCTCGAGGCCACAACAATATTATAATTGCGAAATAAATTAGCTAAATAATAGGCGATTGCGATTTTATAATTATGTACACACATTTATAATTGTTCTATAGAAGACCAATTTCAGTTATAACAATAGGCGTGACTTGACGAATCACCTTTTTTATCATTTCGATTAAAAATAGGTTATACTTTTAATTTTCTTAACAATTTTAATGAACGCAGAGGGTGATAAATGATATTTAATTAAAAGAGTTCTTTGATAGATAATTAAACTAATAATTAATATTTATATTCAGGGTAGAATTTTTAAAATTAGGTTTATAGTCAAATTCTCTTATTATAAAAAAAAAGTAGGTCTTAACAAATTGTTTATTTAATAAATATCTCTAAAGTTCGGGATCCAAAGACTAGAACCTTAAATTAAGCGTTTTAATTCGGGGTTAAGGAGTATATGTACAACTTTTAGTAGAAACAGTACATTTTTAAACATATTTTTCTAGACATTCTCAAAAATACAAACTTTTTAATAATAAAAAGAAAAATTTAACAAGCTACATAATAAATTTTAATTTAATTTAAAAACATATGCTTTAAAGTAATTCTTGTAAAAATGANATAATAAATTTTAATTTAATTTAAAAACATATGCTTTAAAGTAATTCTTGTACAAATGAGTGGTTATTTAATATAATCGACTATTATTATATACTATTAAACATTGACTAATTTAGATTTTTCTATCTTAGAAATCTTTGCAAAGTAATAAATTTAATTTAAAAAGTATAATCAAAAATATTGTTGAATACATTTTTTTATTTAATTTTCAATAGTTATCTATCTGATTAACACAAAGGATTTTTAATTCACTTTTGTAACTGTTAATTTAAGATTTAACGCTAAAAAGTACGTTACAAGAAAATGAAAATCCTATGAACTCTAAAACCTGTTTACTGAAACCTGTTTCTTTATAATGAGACTTCTGAGATTACTTTTCGATACCCAAATACTAAATGGCCTCTGACAATGTCATATTAAACAACAGAACCCGTTAAACAAAATTAACCACAGAACATGAGTGAGTGGTCAGTATACTAAAATGTATTATACAAAAATAAATCACAGCTCGAGTATAATAAAAAAAGAAGGCTGAGCTTAGAAACGAGGCACTTTAAAAAATAGTTAGATGTTATCAAGTGGGAAATACTACTCGTCGTGATCTACCCATTATATTTAATCACAGATCCCCTACGATGGTAGCAATTTAGACACTTGTAGGATTGAGCTGGCCAAAAGTTTTTAATCGTCGGCCGAACGTAACAACGTTGAATACCGTTAGAAAAAAACGTGTGCAGTCTAGGACCGTTATGGTTGTGCGTCGTATCTTTATTAGTATAGATATAGAGAGTATATTCACAATGCATGTGCGGAAACATTGGCCTGTGACCCAAATACCTACTTGAGTCTTACATTGTTGGCATTGAGTTATTAAAACAAAATAATAATGTTATTGTGTTGTTATCATTCATTTTATTGTTAACAGGTCTGTTGGACACTATCACCACAACAGCGGAGACCAAAGACTGTCCAGGTTATTGCGCTCATGCATTAGCAACGATAATATGTTATGATGTACTCGAAGACGTCAAATGTCCCGGTGAAATGAAATGCTGTTTAGATAAACCTCCTGTTAATGGAACGACAGGCGTTATAGCCAATAATAAAATAGACCAGACGTCTGGTTCTACTCCACGGCCCTCATTGCCGGTAAGTTATTTTAAAAGACTAAACTTTATAATTAATAATTATAAATAAATTTGTCTCACAACAGGCTTCTAACAATAACAGTAACAACTATTACAACAACAACAATAACAATAATAATAATAATAATAATAATAATCAGAAGCCACCGCCAAAATCTCCAAACGATAATTTAGGTAAGAATAGAACTAAAAAAGACTTAAGGTGTATGTTAAAAAGGATAAATTATCATTGTTATTTGGTTTTTCATAGATCTGAAGTGTCCAGGCGTATGTACGCCCGACAGATTAGCAGACTATTGTGAAGCTGTTTTTAATGTCACTGAAATGTGTAAACCGGGTCTCAGATGTTGCGTTCCGAAAAATGCATTCTTGGGAGCTGAAAATCTTATTGTGTATGATAAAACGTCCACTAGAATTAATACTGCCACTTCATCACATCGAACACCAGAAAACTCATCGCCAACTCCAGCGGTAACATCGTCGACAATTAAGACGACTGTTGAAACATCTAGTAACAGTCAAAATGTCGCAGTTCCAGCCGGTCAAAAAAAGTGTCAAGGTGAATGTACCAGCGCACTTTATGCACTGTTTTGCGACGAAAACGATTTGGAAGCGTACTGTCCAGTCGAAGGCGAAACTTGCTGTATAACTTCATCAACAGCGGAAAGCAACGAGCCTACTTCACCACCTGCAAAACAACCCAGGCCCACGACTAAACCACTCGTCACAACCCAAGTGTCAGTTAACAGTAATGCGCCAAAATGCGCAGGTTACTGTATCTATGAGGTGATGACCGCTTTTTGTAAAAGACCTTCTGTGTTGGTGTATCATACATCTACGTGCTTGCAAGGCTCGGTGTGCTGTGATAATACCAAAAGTCCTCCACCTCCAACGACTACTATCAAACCAAAACCACGTCCTACAACAACTACGACTTCCATGCCGCCGCCACCGCCTGATGACCGACCTGATTGTCCCGGGTCATGTGTTTTTTCTTATTTGTACTTTACATGTTTCAGTAAGTATTTAACAAAAAAAAAGATAACTTGTTGGCGGAGTAAATTTTATTTTTTATTAAGAAATGTAAATGTTTTTTTTTTTTTCAGAAAACGCCGAAATTACTGATGTGTTCAAATGTCGAAAACACGGAACTCAATGTTGTGCTACCAAAAATCAAATTCGAGAAATGACAGAGCAGAAAAATGGTAATGTCGGTGTACATTCGCCAAATAACATAATTGGTCAACCACCACCTTCCCAAAATTTTATGAGTTACAATACGCACAGAAACGAAACTATTTCACAATTCAGACCACATGTACCAAGTTCTTTAGCAGTTTATCCTCCACCTCCAGGTTAGTAACTCTAACTATAAATATAGTTATTTAAAAAATATTCTTCATTTTTTGATTACTAAAAACAATACTTGTATATTTGAATGTATTGAGTATGAAATTACATTAATTGTAATTGATTTATATTTTTCAAGCATCACATTGTTACTATATAAATCTCAATATGCTTACATAATTCTTTGTTTTTTAGAATACCAACCTAACTTAACGGTATCTACTTTGACTACGCCTAACCCATTATTCACAAAACCACCATCCTACAGTAAATATGTATGTGGAGTCAAAGGAACAGCAAGATCATCAAGAGTGGTCGGCGGAGAAGATGCACAACCAAATGAGTGGTGCTGGCAAGTGGCGTTAATAAATTCATTAAACCAGTATTTATGTGGTGGAGCATTAATTGGCACACAATGGGTACTTACTGCAGCTCACTGTGTTACTAAGTGAGTACTAAGTAAACAAACTGATGTCTTCACTTTCTGAACACGTAATTTTTATTTTTATTTTTAATTGAATATAACAATTTTATCAATAAAAATGAAATTTTCCTGAAACAACAAAATTATAACTTGAGTAGAACTCGGTTGTCTTTATACTCGGTTTATTCTTTTTTGTTCTGTAAGTCGCGACAATATTATGGATATTTATTTTATATTGACTACCTAAAAAACAATTTCGGTGCACTATTTTTATATAACTTAGATTACAGTAATTATGTTTGTATTTTTATAATTTTGTATATGTCATTGCAGCATCGTACGGTCTGGTGATGCTATTTATGTACGAGTCGGTGATCACGATCTAACTAGGAAATACGGAAGTCCAGGCGCTCAAACTCTTCGAGTGGCCACAACATATATACATCATAACCATAACTCTCAAACATTAGATAATGACATAGCGCTATTGAAGTTGCACGGGCAAGCCGAACTTAAAGATGGCGTTTGCTTGGTATGCCTCCCAGCAAGGGGTGTCAATCATGCGGCCGGAAAGCGGTGCACGGTCACAGGTTATGGTTACATGGGTGAATCTGGACCCATACCATTGCGGATCAGAGCAGCTGAAATACCAGTGGTCAGCGATACCGAATGCATACGTAAAATAAATGCGGTTACCGAAAAGATCTTTATTCTACCGGCCAGCAGTTTTTGTGCGGGTGGTGAATCTGGAAATGATGCCTGTCAGGTAAACAACAATACAAATAATTTATTGGCGTTTGGATAACCGACCGTTTCTCAGTCAAAGACAGCCCGTTTTTAATCCGATAGTACGGCGAAACTTCTGATGCAATAAGAATTTTGAAAACGAAATTGAATTCAATATTATGATGAAAAGTTTGGTCAGCTATTTATTTTGAAATTTTGTTTACTTTAATCCCTAAGTACAGGTTTTATTTTTGAAACGAACTTGGATTTGAAGAAATCAAAATTTCAAAAAAGTAAACTGATCTATATTCAATCGGCATGATGCTAAATTCAAAAAAAATTTTAAAAATCACATTGTATCCGTAATTTTTGGTCGTACTTTTGGCACAAAAATGGTTAGTTTTGTATAATTTAGTATTTTCTTTTGGGTCTGCGTAATGTACATAAAATATGAAATTGTCTATAGTTGATTCCTAAAAATCGTTGGTACCGAGAGGTCTTAATTAATCAACTTAAATATATATATATAATACATTATAAGATTTATCGTAGATTATAGTAAAGATATTACTATTATTATTATTACTTTTTTTTTTTTTGGTAAGGTGTTTTTTATGTTAAATATGTATATTTAAATAAGTTTAAATCGGTAAATCAATGTTTGCTTTGATTGTAGGGTGATGGCGGTGGACCATTAGTGTGCCAGGACGATGGATTTTATGAACTGGCCGGACTTGTATCCTGGGGATTTGGATGCGGAAGAATAGATGTGCCAGGTGTATATGTTAAAGTGTCCTCATTTATTGGATGGATTAACCAGATTATAAGCGTCAACAATGTGTAATACTATTAATACACTTCAAATGAATATTGATAATATTCACACTAAAGAGTCCCTAAAAATAAATTACTCGAGATTATTCTATATTTAGTTTTAATTTATTATTATTTATTATAATTGTTTTTGTATATTTTTTCAATACGTCGAAAACTAAATGTAAAGAAATAACATTTAGACAAAATTAAACATGTTTATCAAAATAATTATTCGTTAGTGTATAAATGAAATTGAATGAATTGTCTATAATATGTTAACTAAGAAATACATTTATATAAAACAGTTCTTTTTTCACATTGATAAAATAGATTTAATTGTACATACTGTCATATAGGCCGACTTGGAGCAGATTAATATCTATTATTATTATTTAAGTCCTATCAATCGACAGCACTAGTAAAATGTTTTCAAGTATTATTAAGAAACAAAATATTTTTTATACAAAATTAAGTGATGAAATCTATAAAATATTTAGCTGTCCCAAGTTAACTACAACAACATGGCATTGCCTTTAATAGATGATGATGAATTTAACTACTGCCTCAAGTGGGCCCATTCAATGTTAATTTTGATTTGTTTTGGACATTTTTTAACCTTTAATTTTCTTTCCACTTAAATTTTTTGTGTAAAAAATCATAAAATACTTCTCAGAATATCTTATGGTAATTTTAGATAAAAGCTCACCTGTTATTTAAATTAAATATTTAAAAGATTTTAAGTAAACATATATATATATATATAAAAAAAAATTAGAACTCCCCAAAAAAAAATCTATTCTTATAAAAAAATATGATATAAAATCTAGATTATTTTAACACGGACAGTAGAATTTCTAAGCCTCATGCACTATATTAAAGGGTCTATTGTGAAATAATTTTTAGAAAAAGGAATTTAATTTTTATCCATCATTTAGTTTTAAAGAAGCATGAATAATATTGACCTTGAAATAGAATAATGATTAATAAAAACTACATAAAAGTAATTTTACATATTTTTTAAAGGTATGCTTAAATTATAATGATATAATTTTGCTTTGAATTTCACACCAATTTATTAAAATTTTGAGAATCATACTAGTAAACTAAAATGTTTACTATATTCTTATATGTTTTACAAAAATTAAAATGTATTCAGTATAAGTAAAATAGAAGACTGTCAAAATTAATTACATATACAATACATTTCATAGATATTTGTTTATGTTATTTACGCTTAAAACGTGACCAATGACAAAATTACTTTTTACCTATTAAACGTGTTACACTCTAATGTTTTCAAATAATTTATAAATCTGTTTACTACAAAAATGTTAAAGGTTTTTATCAATCAATATGTTCAGGCCAAACGTGTTTTATTTCTATAAATCATTTGATTATTTCATCTTTTTGACTTATACTGAGAGACATATATAACACTTCAGATAAAAGCTTTTAAAAAATGGCATTTTTTTTTATTAAAAGCATCTAATAATTTCAACTAAAAACCAACTTTGAAGTTTTCTGAGATTTTTTTAAATTCGATTAAATAAACGAGTTTAATGAGATTCCAGAATGGCTCAACAGGCGACCTAACTTGATAATTTTGATTGTACTTGAAACACTAAACACGTTTTATTTTATATGGTTACAATATTATAAAGAAATTTGATAGATGATTGAAAAAAGTGGTAGGAGAAGTTGAGTGAAAGAAAATCATATTAATAACAAGTCAACAGCTAGTCAGTAGTTTACTGGTAACCTTTTTTTTCTATCGATTAAGGATGTATATAAATATATTGAAGATATTTCTTGGTATCTCATTAAGAATAAGGTAACAAACAATAATTTATATTAATAATATTTTATAAATAATTAAATTCTATTTTTAATAATATGATTGTTATTTAATATATTATTATATTAAAAAGGCAAAGATGTTAAATAAAAAAATTAACTTTTGTATAAATTTCATTAAATCAAATGAATTAATTCTTTGTGTTGTCAAAAAAGAGAAGTAAAAATATATAACTAAACATTAAGCATGGTTTTTTGTATAAAAAAGTTATTTAAATTAAAACTCTATACGTTTAATATTATATATAATTTCTATTAAGTAATTTCAAAAATACTTTGTATTATGACATTTATTTCTTAAGAAATAATTAATATCTAATTTTTACATTACATGGACTTATAAATATGAAAAAAATCAAATGAGAAATGGATATTTTGTAGAATATTTATTTTAAAAAATACAAACATAGTTATAAAATAAATTTTAATATTTACTTTAGAATATAATTTGATTGTGTTTAAAATTAATAAAATGTTTGAGTGAATAAATATTTTTATATATTACTTTAATATAAATAAAATAATAATAAATATTTGATTATTAATCATGAAACGTTATTTCCAACTATTATTTTATCTATTATTTATAATTTAGATAAATTATTTGAAAGTTATGAGATTTGTATGTCATATACAAAGAAGATGTATTACAATGTGTATTATTATTTTTTAAGTAGAGCTCTAAAATTTTTGTTTTATATAAACATAAATAGTTAAAATAAACTATTATTATACAAATCAAAAGCATTATTTACAATTAAATGAATAAAACATATATATAATTACACTATTTTTTAGCCAAAGTTATTTTATATAGAAACAGATACATATATAAATAATATATATATATATATACTATACCTGTTACAGTCGTTTATTATTACTTGATAATATCATACTCAATATGATAAATGATACAGCAAAAATTGTGAAATCATTTAACGGTAATTCGTATATTATTCGTAGATGACATAAATAGTCAACAATAGTCTTAAACTAAATTTCTATTTAACAAAGAAAGCTTTAATATTCACTTGTAATTGATACATTCTTCCGAAGACATGATGATCCATACAATATGCTTATATGTCAACTAGTTTAAAGTTTGTAAACTAACAGCTAACTAATACAATTTAAATTTATTAAATGATATTCAATTTTTGATTTTTTTTTTTTACTTTTATATACAAATGACTTTATTATAAAATTAAAAAAAACTGAGCTTTATTTTCTTTTTTATTTGCTTTTGTTAATTTAATACAAAACATTTTACATTAGATTTGAAATACTATACAATTATTATTAACTTTGTTTAAATTGAAATATATATATATATATATAT